CCACTGGGCTCCTCCCCCACCAGGCTTGGGGACAGGAATGGGAGGCGCCCAGGCCTGGCCTGGGAGCTCCCAGGGGAACTGGCAGCCAGGAAACACAAAACCAGGCAGAACTCTAGGGGTGCTAAGTGGAAGGAGTACCAGGACCCAGAGCAGCCTGGAAGGCTTCCCGGAGAAGTCAAGTGCTAGGGAAGGTAGGGCTACAGTGTCTGAGAGGAAGTGGGAGGCTCTACCTGGATGTGCGATATCCACACTTCTGGGACACTGCAGAGAGAGGGGGACTTCCTGTCCAAACTCTCATCCCAGGCCTGGAGACACTCCGCCCTGATGGCAATGCTACCAGTCTCTTTGGTGGAGTTCCCAGCACCAAGCCCAGCCTCTCTTGAGTCTTCATTCAGCCTGCACCTGCTGCTGATCTTGCCTCCTCCAATCCCTCTCTGCAACACCCCTGGACTCCCCACACCACAGCTGGAACAACAGGGCAAAGGCCAAGCACTGGGCCCTTCCTGATCTGGCCGGCTCAGCCTTTCCCATGCCACAGCCCTGCCATTCCTAGGAGCCCTTGGTTCCAGCCTGGCACACCTAACCACCTCCCAAATCCAGCATGTGCAATTCCATCTCCCCGTCTTTGCCTATGCAGGCAATATTCCTTGGAAGACTTTCTCCCCTATTCTACCTCCCCTCCCCCAGTGAAGGCAGCCCAGACCAAGTGCCACCTCCTGCGTGAGGACTTTGGCTACCTCCCTGCCCCATCCCCGGCCCTTCTTGCCTGTAAAACATTAGGGCTTGGGTGTGGAATTGGTTGAGCCCTGATGCATCCTAAAGGCAGGTGCAATGCCTTCTACTCCAGATGGAGTTCCCCGACTCCATCTAACACAGGGTTTTGTACACCCAGGGGATTCAAGTGCAACACTTATGTGGGGGAGGGGAGGGGAGGAGAAAAAAAATGGGTCCCTGGACCTAGTCCTGGCACCTGAGGTGTACCACAGCTCTGCTCACCAGAGGGTGGCTAGGAATTGGGGATGGCTCCTCCACCAGGCCCTTGAGGACTGACTGGGTATGGGGGAACAGGCAGCAGGAGGCGAAGGAAGCTCCCTGTGGAGCTGGATGGGGTGGGGTAGACACTGAGGGGATGAGATGAGAGAGGCCAGGAGCCCTTCTGAACAGCCCTCTCCAGTGCCTGGGTGGTCTCTGCCAGGACCTAGCCCAAGCCTGAGGCTCCCTTACCAATGCCTCAGCCCAGGACAAGCCTTCCAGGGCTCTTTCCTTCCTGAGCCCAGGCACAAGAAGGACCAGCGTGTCCCCAGCCGTGTGGTGCAGTGGATACCACATCCAATGGGCAGGCGGGAGACCTGGACCATCATCCAGGGCCTGCTGCTCACTGATGACTTGAGAAGAGTCCCATTTCCTTCCAGGGCCTCAGTCTCATGGTCTGAGAAATGAACTTGTGGGACTAAATTATCTCCAAGTACATTCCCAATCACATTTAGGATTTAGACCTGCCCCTGTTTGAAAGCTGTCAGTGTCCCCCTCCCACATCCAGTGCCAGCAGGACACTATTTCAGAGGCTCTGGGCCTTGGAGGGAGACACACCTGGACTGGAATCCACCTTTCCCATCTACTGACTGTGTGACCTTGGGCAGTTCACTCCTCCACTCTGTGCCTCAGTGCCCAGCTCTGTAAGTGGTAACAGAAAAACATCCCTCAGGGAGTGCAGAGAGCATTAAAGGAGATGCTTGGCACACATGCCCAAAGGTGCCTGGCACAGGGCTTGGCCCTAAGACCCTCAATGAATGACAGTTCTTACCCAGCTTTAAGTCTCATTTTCCCTCTTGCCATCTTTCCCCATCATCCCTAATCCATCAAGCCCAGCTGGGGCTCCACCTCCTGCAGGAAGTCCTCCTGGCTTATTCTGGCCCACAGTATCCTCCCTGGCCTCAGCACACTCTGCACCATCCACCCATTTCTTCACTCTTTCACCAGACATGCACTGGTAGCTCCTGATGCCAGGCATCATGCTTGGTGCCATGGGCGCAGAGATTGCTCTGACACTGCCACTGTCTTCCAAAGGCAGGGTGGGGAAGGGAAATGAGACAGAACACAAAAAACTAAGGCCTATGACAGACAGGGAGAGGGCCAGAGAAGAGGGCATCCTGAGCTAGCTAAAAAGGGTCAGGGAAGGCTTCCTGGAAGAGGCATCTGAACTCTTTGCCCTTGAGGACAGGGGCTGTACCACCAAGGAGAAACGAAAGGTGGGAGAAAGCATGGGAGCAAAGCACAAGGGCAGGACCCTCTTGGGAGGAATAAGTGTTCTGGTGGGGGCTGAGCCCAAGGGGACCTGAGAGAGGATACAGAGGGAGACTCATGTCTGCTCCTCCAGTCTGTGCCCCCACCCTATAGCGGCCATAGAGAAACAGAGAAGCTGCTAGCATGAAGCCTGAGAGCCATGGGCTCCCAGGTCAGAGCACGTGGGCCCTACAGTGCAGCCACTGGGCATCTCCATGCCCACAAGCCTCCCCTCCTCCACTGGCACACCTCTTTCCTGGACTCTGTCTACAGCCACCACCAGGCACAGCCCCCTCCCTCCATTGAGGCATGCCTCCGTCGCAGAGACCCCCCCTCCCACAGGGAGCGTGACACAGCTCACAGCCCCTAAGCAGGCACAGCTGCCCTCCTCCCCCAAAAGGCATCAACTATCTCCAGTCCCCAAGAAGTTGGCCAGAGGAGGGTCTTGAGACCACAATCTTGTCAAGCCCCTGTCTTCTCCCAAGATGGCTCCCCCCTTCCCGCTGGTTGGTACTGAGGCCTCCCTGGGGTCCCCCTGTCCCTCCTTCTACCCCCAAATGCATCTGGGCTCAGAAAGCTAGGGAAGTGGAAGACAGACAGCCTAGGGTGGGCGGGGACAGATCCCCAGGTCTCAATACCCTGCCCTCATATCAGCAGGGGTCATCACCAGCCCACCATGCTGATCCAGGCAAGGGGGGCAGCAGCTGCCCCATGGAGAACTCAGATCTCAGGTCACCTGACCAGTTCCCCACCCGAGGCTGGCTGGTGCCCTAAGGTGAACTCCTGGCACTGCAGGAGGAACTGTGGGCCTAGGGTCGCATTCCTCACCCTGAGGCCAACTCCAGGGAGGGCAGTGGGAAAGACCTGGGAGGAAAGCAACCACTTCACCCAAGTCATTATTTTAGCTCTTTAAGGAGGGTGCCCTGGTGTTGAGGGTAAAACGAGAGTAACAAAGCAAACTCGCAGGGTAAGAGGGGGCTCCCCAGTGTCCGAGGTCTGAAAATGGATTCTTTTACTATGCCCCGAAGGTTGGGGTGAGGGTGTCCCTCGGGGATGCCTCAAAGTGGCAGTCCCTTGTCACTCCACCAGACCTCCTAACCCGTATCCAGAGCACGCACACAGCTGCTCGCAGCACGCCCCCGCCTGTCTGCGGGCCGGCCCCACGCCCCGGCGCATACTCTGTGACCCCTGGGGGTGTCCCGGGGCCTTCCTCCAGACCACCTGCCCGGAGCCCGGACGCCTTTAGTAGCCCGGGAAGCCCCTGGCCGGCGATCCCAGCCCCCTCTCCCCAGCCGGACGCCCCCACCTTCCAGCCGGCCGAGCTGTTGCTGTCGCCTTTATCCTTGAAGTAGGGCACGTAACGGACCATCCAGTCGTAGATTTGAGAGAGCGTGAGCCGCTTGTCCGGGGCGCTCTCGATGGCTTTGGTGATGAGGTCGGCGTAGGACAGGTTCCCCCACGCGTTCCGCCGGG